AAATTTATTTCTTATCATAATAATCATAATTTATTGCTTATTCTGCAGTCATGAATTCTGAAAAAATAACTGCTTAAGAAAATGTAACAACATCCCTTTGAGCAGGTCAAAAGGTAAATATAAATTTATTGCTTATCATAACAATCATAATTTATTGCTTATCCTGCTGCCATGAATTTTGAAAAAATAACTGTTCAAGAAGATGTAACAATGTCTTTTAAGCAGGTAACAACGTTCTTTTAAGCAGGTCAAAAGGTATATATGAAATGCTTACCCAAGACAAAAAATAATAAGAAAGTTTTACTTAGAATTTATTGAAAAATTATTTAAAAATATAATTATAATATCATAATGATTACAATTATTATATCATTATGAGTTATAATGTTATTTTCATTTTTTATTTAAAAAGATACTTTTTTTTGCTAATGAATTTAAATAGACTATACAAATACAATTTAATACCATAGCAATGATGATGATTAAAAATAAAGAGTCAATATTCCTAACTTATCATATAATAATAATCTAACTGAAAAATTATTTTTAAAAAAAATAATAACTACATATGCAATTATAATATCATAATGATTATAATTATTATATCATTATAAGCTATAATGTTATTTTCATTCTTTATTTAAAAAGATACGTTTTTTTCCAATGAATTTAAATAAACTATACAAATAAAATTTAATGCCATAGTAATGATGATGATTAGAAATAAAGAATCACTATTCCTAACCTATCCTATAATAATAATCTAATTAAAGAGATATACTTGCATGATTTCTATTTAAGCTCACCCCTTCCTCTTTCTCCATGCAAACTTTTGATGAAGGAATTTGAGTCGACCAACAATTTCAAAAAGGTTTGTCACATTTGATACTTATTTCATTTTTTTTTCAATTACATTATTTATATATTACAATTCAACATTTTCTTTTGACAACAATTTTGTAGCATGGAAAACCCTAAGTTTGTGGAAAGAATTAATTTCAAAGAACTATTGGAGAGGATATCTATTCGATTGAATATAGGCCAGCCACAATAGCAAACAAATCTAAGTGATGATGGGAATTATGCCTCCAGCGTTCAACTAATCCAAGAAGAGGACTATATTGCTATGAAATTAATTTACAATGGCTATCCTTTTGCAACTATGGAAGAAGCGGAACAATCTGCTGCAAAACATGCTATCTTAGAGCTAGAGAAATCTCATGATTTTGGAATTGAAGATGTTAATTACACCAAAATGCAAGCTTTCGAAGAAGCTCTTCAAAGACAATCTTGCTTGTGCAAAGTGGAGAAAGAAAAAGAAGTACAATATAAAGATCAGGTTTCAAGTATTGTTGAAGGACTTAGAAAAATGTTACAAAGAATGAAAATATCTTACTATAGCAAGAAGAAGATGAATGTGCTTCTAAACAATATCTAATAATTTTCATATTATATAGAATTGACTATCCATGATATAATATAAATAAAATGTTCTTAAGTAATTTATTATTAATTTAATTATTACTGATAACTCTTTCAACTTTATTTATAAGACTAGATTTTTTTCTTTTATTTTTATTATTGTTGTCACCTATCACAAATGAAAATAATTATTATGTAGATTTTTCTATTGTTTTAATAAATTATTTGTAGAATAGCCCTTTCGTATGGTATCGACTCCTGAATTATGTGTCAACACTATATTTGTGTCGGAGTTTTGGATGCTTATCATATGGTGTCGACACCAAAATTATGTGTTGATACTATGCCCGTGTCGAATTTTTGTCCTCTTTTGCAGTCACCTTGATCACGTTTTGCATCTATGCATCTATTTGGGTTGAAAGGGGAAGTAAACAAAAGGTGAATCCAGAGGTGAAAGATGTGTAACCTTGGAAACGCATGAAAAAATATTGTAATGCATAATAATAGAAATCATGGGACTAAATTATAAATTCTTACAAAGTTTGAGGACTATATTGTGAAACAAAAGTTCCAATTAGGGACCTAAATGAATAAATTCAAAGATATAGGATTTGATGTTCACCATGTAAAAGTCCTACGACCAGCCTTGCAATTTTATCTTTGAAGAAATAGCAAAAAGGCCCAAAAACCCGACACGGGTTGCGTGTCGACACTCTTGCTTAGTGTTGATATAATTATTATAGATAACGGAAAACTCTAAGCACAGAATTATTAAAAATTAAACTCACCCTAATATAAACATAACGGAAAAATAATGAAAAGAATTAAAAGAAGAGAAAAGTTATGCCATTTACATGTACATTAAAACCTCTATTAATTAATAAAAAATCATAAAAAAATAAAGAATAAATAACAACATAAAATATAAAAATTTCATTCAAAATTATCAT